ACCCCCTAAGGTTCCTATCTAATCTTTCCATTTGCTGTTGTCAATTTGATCCCATATAGATCATCTCAGGGCAATAGTTTCAGGGGTTTTTCCAAACTTTATGGAGTCCATGAGAATTTGAAATTATGTTCTACATTTTTCCCCTTTTGATCATGATTCTTCTATGGAGTTTTTTATCAAAATCTTCAGTAATGGTAGCTGGGCACCATCCAGTTGTTTAGGCCTCATGGAAAAGAAGGCAGTTGTTCATGGTGGCAATCAGCCACACATTCCATATCCTCTTCATATTCTTGACTCTCCTTTTCCCTCTGTTTATCCAGGTGAATAGAGACCAGTTGTTACGCCTTGTATGGATGCTTGCAAGCTTTTAAGACCCCAGACACTATGCATTGAAATGGGAGGTAGAACAGAAGCACTAAACATGTTAATCAGCCAACAAATTGATATGTCTCATGACACCTTGACTCTAAACCTCCAAATCAAGAAACCAAATCCCATGAGATTTTTGGTTTTACATAAGCAAGAGTTGTAAATCTTTAGGGAAGCAGGCTGCCACATATTTCTTTCACAGAGTAGCTTGTGGGTTCGGACTGCCACCCTTTAAGTTAACAGCTGAGTGCTTTAACCACTGCATCACCAGGGCTCCTTTTGATGCTATTGTTGTTGTTAGGTTTGGTTGAGTAGATTCCAAATCATAGCAACCCTATGTACAACAGAATGAAACACTGCCTGGTCTTGCGCCATCCTCACAATCGTTCTGCTTGAGCCCATTGTTGCAGCCACTGTGTCAGTCCATTTCATTGAGTGTCTTCCTCTTTTTTGCTGACCCTCTGCTTTACCAAGCATGTTGTCCTTCTCCAGGGACTGGTCCTTCCTGATAACATGTCCAAAGTATGTGAGACAGTCTCACCATCCTTGCTTCTAATGAGCATTCTGGCTTGTACTTCTTCAGAGACAGATTCGTTCATTCTTCTGGCAGTCCACGGTATATTCAATATGCTTCGCCAACACCATAGTTCAAAGGCATCAATTCTTCTTCAGTCTTCCTCATTCATTGTCCAGCTTTCACATGTATGTGAGGCAATTGAAAATACCACGGCTTGGGTCAGACAAGCACACTTTGGTCCTTGAAAGGACATCTTCACTTTTCAACACTTTAAAGAGATCTTTTGCAGCAGATTTGCCCAACGCAATGCATCATTTGATTTCTTGACTGCTGCTTCCATGAGCCTTGATTGTGGATTCAAGTAAAATGAAATCCTTGACAGCTTCAATCTTTTCTCTGTTTATCATGATGTTGCTTATTAGTCCAGTTGTGAGGATTTTTGTTTTCTTTATGTTGAGGCGTAATCCATACTGAAGGTTATAGTTTTTGATCTTCATCGGTGTTTCAAGTCCTCTTGATTTTCAGCAAGCAAGGTTGTGTCATGTGCATATCGCAGGTTGTTAATGATGCTATTAGTAGAATAAATTATTAGCGTTTACAAAAACTAAGTAGCAAGCAGTACTATAGTGAGATCTCTGGCAAGGGCCTAAAATACCCATTATATTTTCTTACTGATTGAAAGAGATTTGTGTGAATTATATTTTGACACGTTCACAGCAACATTTCACATTTTCTTACAAAAATAAGCCAACTCCTTTCTTGCCTAGATGGAGAGTAAACAGTATCTGTAAGCAGGTCCAAAGAATTTCCTAAACCAAATTTCAACCTGTTGGAATTCTTTAAAAAGTGTTCTGAAGATGCACAGTTTTTACCAACATAAAGCAAAGAAAAAAATTACAAGTTGATATTAAAGTGATAAAACAGAACACACTAAAAAAAAAAAGTAGTTAAATTAGAAGATGCTTAATTTTCTTATATAGTGCTAACTGATGTATCTTCCTAGACAGTTTGATATAATTTAAGAAATAACACAACAGATCAGTCATTAAAATAAACACAGGATATAAACAAACAATAAAACCTCAGAAACTCCCAAAACATATCCAGAAATATGATATTTCTCAAAATCATTATTTTTGAGAACTTAATATTATTCATGAAGTCATCGAACAACAATGGAGTCTTAGCAGAATTAGGAGCTGAAGGAGATATGCTTTTTATCTAGCAAATTCTTTCTATTTAATCTTTTTTTTTTTTTCTTTTTATATTTGCTCTTGGGTCTTCTCTTGCAATTTTCTCATGTCAAATAAAATATAATCTTCATAATTGCAGTAAGAGAGAAGAGATAATTCTGTGGAAGGAAATTACTCAAGGCAGAAGGACTAAAATTACCAGTCTTAATTAGTTTTGTATTTCTATTGGGTAAAGGAATTGCTGTTTGGGAGCTGAGAGTGTATGTTCAGCTCCTCAGGGAGCAATAATGCATTTGGCATGGGACAAGGAAAGAAACAAAATAAATTATTGGTTTTCAGCTTGAATTGCTATCTAGATTACAAGAAAATAACAAAGAGTAATAAGGACCATTTGCTTGCTAATGGTCATGAAATTACATTCAATCATAATTCAGCTTGTAAAACTCACTTGAAAAAAATGAGCCGGGATAGTCTTAGACCTGGACACGCCATGGAGGTCTGTTGCTTCAAAACGCACAAACTGGAGGTGATTTGTGGTCGTCTCTTGTTTAATGTGCTTAATTCTAGAGAAGAGTTGAGGTAGGGTGGGGAACTGAGTGTTGTCCCTGGTATGATCTGTAAAATAAAGAATGGTTCTAAGTCACTGGATCATGATGAATTGAGAAGCGAGAAGAGGTTAAGGCGGACAAAAAAAACAAACAGTTGTTATCAAGTCACTTCTGACTCATGGTGATCCCATCTGTGTCAAAATAGAACTGTGCTCCACAGGGTTTTTAATGGCTAATTTTTCAGAAGTAGATCACCAGGGCTTTCTTTCGAGACACCTCTGAGTGAATTTGAACTGCCAGCATTTAGGTAAGCAGCCAAGTGCCTTAACCATTTGTGCCACCCAGGGACTCCCAAAAGGAAGTTAGAGTGAATTAACCTCTGTTCATTGCCTCTAAGTATGTTTACTTGGCTTAGAGTCGGAGATCTTACCCTTTCTTACACGGCTTTTACCATCTCCCTGAGAAAGTTCTCTCTAAATAGCCTAAAGAGATTATCACTTACCTTTAGCTGGAAGTTACCATTATTTTGATGTTTCTAACAATATCATATGTAGATACTGAAAACACTTTTCTTATGGAAATTAGAATATATTATTATAACTGAATAGCATTGGCACCATGTAAATCTCTTTAGGGATGATTATCATTGAAAAGATTTTGAGTCTATTGAACTAACTGGTGATGCCCAGATTAAAAGTTACTATATAGTTGAAGGCAAAATTATTTGTTCATTTTTGTTTATTTGTTTTCTGTGTTGATTTTTTTCTTGTTTGGCAAAAAAACCTTCATTTTTTTATAGTTGGATCTGAATCTAAGAAGTCTACATCTCTCTGTCAAATTTAAAATAGGTTTAAATAAGCAAACAAAAGTGTTTTTCAAGAATGAGAGTAAAGGAGATGAAAAATTTAGACTGCATACTAAAATTTAAAATTGGAAACATAAAGGAAGCATGATCTTCTCAAGACTTGTAAGAAACAGTCTAAAAATTATAAAACTTTATGGCTAGAAGAGACGTTGGAGATAAATTGTCTAAATCCAACCAACTCGTTAGCTTGAGTCTCACAGAGGGACAATGAAGTATCCCAAGTCACGCTGTCAGTTCATTGCCAAAATTGAAACTAGAATCCAGATGGCTGGACTCCTGATGGCTGGCTCATTACCACAAAATGAATGAATATTTCTAAAGCATAAAGAGGAGTTTAGCACATAGTACACACTACATAGGTGTTTGCTACTGTCAGAAATTTTAGGAGAGGCGCAGAGTGTAGCGGTTCAGCACAAATGCTGGAACCCGTCTGCCTCACTTCGAATCCTGCCTTTGCCTTGGCAAGTTTGTTGTCCTGTCTGTGCCTCGGCTTTCTCATCAATAAAATATTACCTACTTCATAGGATTGTTATGAGGCTTCCACAGGTTATTTAATTGTTTCTGGCAGACAGTCGGCACCATATAAGTACTACTTAAATGCGTAAAGTGAACACAATTACTCTAACCCTAGTAAATGGTAATGTGATAATGTCTGCATCCGAATACCCATCAACCTGTCACATCGCTCTGATATTGAGTAGCTACAATTTTTAAATGATACCTGAGTATCCTTTTTCAAGATATAACTAAGCTTTAAAAATAAGCATAAAGATTGACAGTTAAAAGCACAGATTAAGTAGATTTTAAGTACAGGAAACATGAGGAAAACAAGTTACTAGTTCCACCTATGCAAATATATTAGCGATAATGCCCTGTCATTTGGCTACTCTGAGACCTCTGAGGCTTTATAACCACCTCCCATTTAACACAAACAATTAAGCTGTAGCAATTACAATGTTTCATGCAAAATTAGCAGTTGCTGTGTTCCCAACTCATTCTAAAATATTGGGTGTTACGCTCAAGGTGAATAATGCTTCTTAAATAAAATAAAATTTGAAGGCATTTTGAAATATTGAAATTTTCAGATAATCAGTACTCTAAACACACTAGGCAATTATATACCCAAAAAAAACCCATTGCTGTCAAGTTGATTCTGACTCAGAGCAACCTTATAGGACAGAGTAGAACTGCCCTATAGAGTTTCTAAGGAGCACTGGTGCATTCAAACTGTCTACATTTTGGTTAGCAGCTGAACACTTAACCACTGTGCCACCAGGGCTCCAGGCAATTATATATAAGCCATAAATATATTAAGGACATTCAAAAAAAAAGATCAAAAGGCATCTCCTGTGAAACAAGGTAATTTTATTGGTTCGCCAGTAATAGGATCATAGGTATCTTATTAGTTCTTTTGCTTATCCACATCTTCTAAACTGTCTATAGTAAATATGTATTATTTTAAAATAAGGAAAATATTCATCCTTTCAAGACATATTTTTTTCATCACCACACACTATTCACACTGGACGTATACCTAGGAAGCAGTCAGAAAAAGCCCTATCCACCTGGAGCTTGTATTCTATTGAGCAGAGGAACTATAGATGATAAGCATAACTATAGATGATAAGATGTGATTATTTCACATGGTGGACAGTGCAGAAAAAAATAAAACCTAATCACCTGGACTATTAATTCTATGAAATCTGGTCAAAATGTGGAGTTGAAACCCTTGATTCACTTTAAGATCACCATGCTGCACTATGATTGAATAGTTTATTTATCATTCTGGTTCCATTCTCTTCAGAGCCCTTATCACCACCTTCCATGCTGTATAATTGCATGTTTATTGTCTCCCACCCACCACTAGGGTGTCAGCTCCAGAAAAGCAGGGGCTTAGCTTTACTTGTGACTGTATCCCCAGTACCTGTAGCTGTGCAGGCATATCACACACACTCAGTAAATATGCTTTTCAACTAGTGAGTGTGTGAATGAATGAATGAATACACCCTATATGACTTGACCTTGCATGACTAACAAGTAAAAATTGGCATCACATATTTTGGCATATATCCTAAGTATCAATTTTTCACTTAAAAATACAATTCTTTCACCAAATAAGAGAACCCTATCCCAGCTAATTTCATTTTTGAGACATCAACTAATCTTGCTGCATCCTTGTCTGAATTTCTTTTCTTCAAATAAATCATAATTGTTAGTTACAATTAAACCTTGTGGTCAGCCCTTCCCAGCTGCGCATGATGAATAGCAGGCAGATAATTGCCAGTTCAGGGGCTCATTTGTTTTTCTTATAGTATGGTTCGTGGGAGGTGTCCTCCTTTTCCATCCCCTCAGAGGGCTAATAAATTAAATCAGTGTGCTTTTATAGTGTCTTAATTATCTAGTGATGCTATAACAGAAATACCACAAGTGGATGGCTTTAACAAACAGAAATTTATTTTCTCAAGATTTAGCTAGCTTGTTATTGTTGTTAGGTGTTGCTGAGTCAATTCCAACTCATAGTGACCCTATGTACTACAAAATGAAACACTGTCCAATCTTGTGCCATTCTCACAATCATTATACTTGAGCCCATTGTTGCAGCCACTGTGTCACTCCATCTCCTTGAAGGTCTTTCTTTGTTTTGCTGACCCTCTACTTTACCAAGCAAGATGTCCTTCTCCAGGGACTGGTCCTTCCTGATAACATGTCCGAAGTATGTGAAACAAAGTCTCACTACCCTAGCTTCCAAGGATCATTCTAGCTGTACTTGTTCCAAGATAGATTTGTTTGTTCTTCTGGCAGTCCATGGTAATATTCTTTACCAACACCGTAATTGAAAGGCATCAATTCTTCTTCGGTCTTCATTATTCATTGTCCAGCTTTCACATGTATGTGAGGCAATTGAAAATACCATGGCTTGGGTCAGGTGCACCTTAGTACTCCAAGAGACATCTTTGCTTTTTAACACTTTAGAGAGGTCTTTTGCAGCAGATCTATCCAATGCAATAAGAGGCTAGAAGTCCAGATTCAGGGCACCAACTCTAGGGGGAGACTTTCTCTCTCTGTTGGCTCTTGGGGAAGGTCCTTATCTCTTCAGCTTGTTTTCTGGTTCCTTGGAGATCTCCATGTGGCTTGGATCAATCTTCCCCCATCTCTGCTTGCTAGCTTGCTTGTTTAATCTCTTTTATATCTGAAAAGAGATCAACTCAAGGTACACTCTACATTAATCCCATATCATTAACATAACAAAGACAACGCAGTCCCAAGTGGGATTATAATCACAGGCATAGAAGCTAGGATTTACAACACGTATTTTTTGGGGACACAATTCAATCCATAACATAGAGGAAGTTTTACTGCTGCAAGTGTTCAGGGAAAAAATAAAAAAACATAAAAAATTAGAAACTCTCAAAGCTCTATAGCAACTGGAAGACCTTGGGGAAATGTCCGTGTTAAGTGGCAACGAGGAAATATTTCAGTAACAGAAAACAAACCATAGTCACTCACAAAAGGCAGATTGAAGTAGGCAGTTGGGCTTTCAGAAATACCAATTCAAAAAGGGAAAAGTGCATTTGAGCATACACCGTGTAATACATTCAGCTTATCACACACCTGGAAGGACCTGCCCTCCTGCATCCACATGGCTACTGTGAGTGCTTTCCTGACCCCACCCTCTGACCACATCATGTTAGCCCACACAGTGGTGGAAATCCCAGGTGGCAGAATAACCATATGCAAAGCAGGGACAAAAACAATACAAAATTATAAAAGGAGCTTTTCTTTGAAACAAATTTTTTTTGAAAGCCTCAAATTGGTTATCACAGAGAAGAAAATAACCACCTTGAAATTTTTTTTACAACTATTTTGGAAGCTGATTTTTATATTCATTTTCAAATTACATATTGGTGGTTTGTTTGAGGTTGTGAACTTTTTGTTGTTTGTTGTTGTTAGGTGCCGTTGAATCAACTCTAACTCGTGGAGACCTTATGTACAACAGAGCAAAGCACTGCTCGGTCCTGCATCATTCTCACGGTGCCAGTATGTTCGAGTCCATCGTTGTGGCTATTGTGCCAATCCATCTCACCAAGGGTCTCCTTCACCCTCACTGGCCCTCTACTTCACCAAACATGATGTCCTCCTCCAGCGCTTGATCCCTCCTGATGATGTGCCCAAAGCAAGCAAGTTGGACAATGTTCTGTTGTGGTCCATAAGCAAGTCAGACAATGTTCTGTTGTGGTCTCATCAGCTTTTCATTGGCTAATTTCCAGAAATAGATTTTCAGGACTTTCTTCCTAGTCTGGCTTAGTCTGGAAGCTCCACTGAAACCTATCCACCATGGGTGACCTTGCTGGTATTTGAAAAACCAGTGTCATAGCTTCCAGCATCACAGCAATGTGCAAGCCACCACATTCTGACAAACTGACAGACCGGTGGTGGTTTGGGTACTTAGGGCCTGTAAAGAACTCAATTGAGCCTTGGGCAAGAGAGAAAGCTTCTCAGCTAACCAAGCTGAATCAATAACGGTACAACATGCCTAGTTGTAGTTGATTCATTCAACTTTGGGTTGATATTTCTCCATAGCAACCATTGTCTGGAGTAAACTTGGATGGGGCATGTATCCTCTAGTTCATGAGTTTACAATTTTTTTTTCTATAAACAGCCAGATAGTAAATATTTACTACATTGTGGGCTCTACGGTCTTTGTCACATCTTCTCAACTCTGCCATTGTAGCAAGAAAGCAGACATAGACAATGCAGAAAACTTTATTAAAAAATGCAGTCCAGCAGACCTGGATGTGGCCCATGGATTGTACTTTGTCAAACCCTGCTCTTGTTTCTCACAACAGCACCACTCCCTAGTTTCTTACACCCAACCCACCTCACTCATTTGTGTTATAAACTTGGCCCTGCGGGCATTTACATAGATAGCCCCAGGTGCTTAGGTTGTCAGTGCTCCTGTTCTTCACCTCCAGGAGAAATCCAGGAAGCCAAAGCACAGAGAAAGAGAAATGCAAAGATGAGAAATGGTAAGCTTGAGCTCTTAATGACTGTACCACCAGGGCTCCTGTAATTAAGGTTATGGACCTTAAAATAAGGAGATTATCCTGGATTATCCAGGTGGGCCCTTAAAAACTGAGAATTTACTCTGCCTGGAGGCAAAATGGAAACCCTTGTGGCATAGTAGTTAAGAATTATGGCTGCTAACCAAAAGGTCAGCAATTCGAACCCACCGGGCTCTCCTTGGAAACCCTGTGGAGCAGTTCTACTCTGTCCTTTAGGGTCACTATGAGTTGGAATCCACTCGACGGCAACAGATTTTTTTATAGGGGCAAAAGAGAGACGTGGCAGAAGGGGAATTAAGAGCGATTCCAAACATGAGAATCCAAACATGAGAGCCCTTGCTGGCTCTGAGATAAAGGACTAAAGAGAGTCCTCTAGGAGCTAAGAGCAGCCCTAGCTGACAACAAATAAGGAAATGGGAACTTTAGTCCTACAACCAAAGAAACTGGATTCTGCCAATAGCATGAATCAACTTGAAAGCTAATTCTTACCTAGAGTATCCAGATAAGAAGCCAGTCGGCCAATATCTTGATTTCAGCCTTGTTAAGACTTGGAGCAGAGAAACCAGCGAAGCCAACCTGGACTTCTGACATACAGAACTATGAAATGATAAATTCGTGTTGTTTTAAGCAATAAATGTGTGGTAATTTGTTAAGGAAACCATAGAAAACTAACACAAATGGTGTCCTGATGGCATTCACTTCCCAGTCTCCAGTTGTTCCTTGTTGTGTGCTGTCGAGTCAATTCCGACACACAGCAACCCCACGTGAGAGAGAAGAACCGCCCCATAGGGTTTACTAGGCTATAAATCTTTAGGGGAGCAAATCACAGGTCTTTTCTGGCGGTGGGGAGGGCGAACTGCCTTGCTACATTTCTACCTTTCCAACACTTGTTTGTTCAACTCTTTCATCATGGATTCTATGAGCCAGTAAATACCTCTTTTTAACTAGTTTCTATCACTTCCATCAAAGAAAATGTTAACCAATACACTCCTGTACCAAAATAGTTACATCACTACCAATAAACCAATAATTTAAAATAACATTAATTTCACTTCCAGAAAAGACTTGAGGAATTATTCACTGCAACCCTTCTGTTTTCCAGATGAGCAGCCCAGTTGGTAAAGGAACTGTAAAGCACTTTATAAATGATGGGTGTATAAATTCTTTTAAATATTTTGACTCCCAACCTAGCATTCCTCAACAAACATGGCATTATCTCATGATAACAAACTTGGGATTAGTGGCTAGAACCAAATGCCAATTGGTTTCAGAGTCCTTACCATCCTTACCAGTATCGTTAGAGTTCAGGTTAAATTCGCTGCCAGAAGTACTGACTGATGTTTCAGGGAGTGATGGTTTTATCACTATCACCTGCTCGTTGGAATTCTTGTCATCATGAGGCTGATCAGACTCAGCAGAGCCAGGTCCCACAACTGGTTTGCTTGCATCTCCCAATTTGTTACATACCATTTGCTTTCTGATCCTCTCTGTAATAACAAAGAGGAAAAAAAATGTTAATGCTTGTTGCCATTATTTCAACTGTCTTTTAACATGATATGGGAAGGAATTCTTGCGAAAAGAGTGTATTTCTAGGCAGTAAAATACCAAACAAGTGGCAGTGGGAGTGGTCCACACTGGTTCCAGCCCATAAAGCCATTCACTGTCTGTAGAGAATTTGGAAACAATAATAAAAGCTGTAAAACTCGGCTTTTTATAGTTACCGTGCAGTGGCAATTTCTGCTGCCCCCATCTTGATATACCAGTTTTTCTAGGATTGAGTTCATTTTCCAAATTAACACCTAGTTTCAGCACTGTTTCAGGCTTATTAGAGTCTAGTAGAAATTCCAACGAGTGGTATGGAAACTGGTTCCACACCTTTACCGTGGTCTCCCAAATCCTCGGTAATGATCTTTGTACTCATTCTCAGAGCAGAAATGTGCTCCTCCTCCTATTCACGTCTTCTTTCTGCTTTGGGCTTTCTTTTTTTACTACTATCATCCAAGTTCTGCCCCTTTAAACCTTGAATATTTTTGATGGATTATTTTTATATACTTACATTGTAGTCTGATATTATTGTATCCCTGGGTGGTGTAAACAGTTCAGTGCTTGGCTACTAACTGATAGACTGAGAGCTCAGCCACACCCAGAGGCACCTCGGAAGAGAGACCTGATGATCTGCTTCCAAAAGGTCACAGCCATGAAAACCTTATGGAGCCATTCTGCTCTGCAACACACGGGTTGCCATGAGTTGGAATAGACCCAACTGTAATGGACACTGGTAGTCTTATATTTACCCTCTTTTACATTGCCTATGTAGGAAAATAAAAAAATTATTCCTTTGCTTTTTTGCTTCTCTGAAGGAAGAAAAGAAAATGTTTTATGAAAAGGATGACCAAATATAGTTTGTCATTGACCACAGATTTCCGAGGGATCATAGTAGCTAAGATACCTTCTGAGATGGATATATCCATTTCTCCTACTTCAGTGGAAGAAATATGTGGTTTAGTGACTTTCTTTCTTGTCCTTCTTAATTTATTTGCCCTGCAGCCTTCAGTCTCTTTACTTTCATCTCCTGTTGTGTCCTGTAATAATTAACAAAAAGCCAAGCAATCAGTCATGCATGCAACTAAATTTGAATGTCAAAAAAAGGTATATAGAATGGACAGCCATATATTAAAATGAGCATTGGAGGCTTCTATAATGAGATCAACTTTCTCACTTCCACATCCACTTGAATAATTCAAAATTAAGAAGCTCAACATTCTGTCAACAGGTCGAATTTTCAGTATCTCCTTTGAAATGTGCACATAAAATACCATTAAATTTAAAATTTTATTCAACTAGTCAAGATTTTTATCTTTATTTTCTACTTTAGAATATTTTATATTATTTATTCCTAATTTTACAAACTCTATTTTAGCTAAGTTCTCTTTTTATGATTTTTACCTTTTTTCTAGGATCTCTAACCTTTTTGATCAGAGGCATAAGAAACCCAAGAATTGGATTCTCTTCTTCTCCCTTTTTCTTTACCTTCATTCTTACTGCATCTATATTTACTTTGCTTTATATTCATAAAATGTTATTTTGTGACTGTGCTTTATACGTATGAAACAAATGTCATTTTCAAACGGTTTTATAGTTTGGGAAAATCTAGACATACATTTTAAAATAACCTAACTTCTACAATCTAGTTATAATCCTTGACAGAGATATAGCCCTGTCAAAGAATGTTCCCAGCAGGGCATTGGGCGGTGAGGCAGGGGCTTGGTGGGGTCAAGTGTCTCAGCACAAACAGCTGCAGAATTTCCTCCGCTGTCCTGGGACACAAAAGCTGACACTGGCTCTTTAAGGTTTTTCGCAAATCCCTCACAGTGGTTTGATGGAAGAGGAAAGTGACAAGGTCAAGGGCAAAAGCCATATTTTAAAATGTTTTTGAATTTGTCAGTTCAAAAATATTGCTATTGTCTTTTTCAGTTTTTGAGGGGCTCCATATCTGGGGACAGATTAAATAAATGTATGTCCAAAAAGTTTGCTGGAGAACAGCTGGACCAACTACCTCCAAAGACTAAAAGAGCGAGAGTTTTTTTACTTTTTATGTATTCATAGGTAATTATGAACTCTTGTTATTATTATTACCATATTCAAAGTTATAGAACGAAGTGTTTTTTGTAACTATAAATTTTCACTTATTTGAAAATTGTGGTCTCTTTCATTTCAGCTAATCTTATATTTGTATCATATGGTACTTAGTGTGTGATATAATAGTTTGGCTTTTTCTAGTAGTCAATAATTTTATTCAAATATTTGCATAAATTTTCACAATATACTTCTGACAGGATTCTTACAGTAATGTATTAGCCTTCTTATTCACCATTTCTAAAATTGCATTTTGCCAGAAATATACATTATGTAATTTTGTTTTTGGTAAATGTTTCTATATATACAAGTCTCTCATGTCTCTGGTCTCTTGAAGAAGTCTTGTTTAGGAAATGAAATACTAGGCCAGGTATATACATGTCAAAGAAATCTAGCCAGACTAACAAATGTGTTTTAGTTTGACCCATTAGAGATATACATATATATATACAATTTTTGTTAGGAACTGGACAACATAAACACTAAGGCCCCTTCCAGCTTCCAAATCTAACCCAAAAGAAAGCTGCAATTGAATAAGAAATTGAATAACAATGTACGAAAACTGAGCTTTTTTTTTTTGTTAGGCACATTTCCTCAAGGTAATAGAATATACACTTACAAATGAGAAAAGTGAAACCTAGAGTAACTTGCCCAAGGCCACAAAATAGTGATCAAAAGATGCAGTTGACGAATTTAGGTCTTCTGATGGCACAGTGGTTAAAGCGCTCGGCTGCTAACCGAAAGGCTGGCTGTTCAAATCCACCAGCCACCCCGCAGGAGAAAGATGTGGCAGTCTGCTTCAGTAAAGGTTTACAGACTTGGAAACCCTACAGGGCAGTTCTGTCTGTCCTACAGAGTCGCCATGAGTTGGAATCGACTCAACAGCAATGGGTATGGGATCTCCAAAACACCATTCTGCTTCCTAAAAGCCAGAAGCCCAAGCCCACAGAAAAGTTCATTTTAGTATCATTCCCCTGCCCTCATATAAATCAGACAAGATGGGGAAGTTTCCTAAGAGTAAAACAGTAGCAATTCACCTAAATAGTTACTAACCTGAGAATTTAACCAATAAAATCTCAAGAACTAAGCATAGTGCGTACCTCTGACTGCGTAATAGATGCTCAATTTTTTTTTCTCAAATTCAGAATGGATTTAGTTCAGTTTTTATTTTCCTTTATATACTAGGGTGTATATTAGTATTACAGACATAGCTATAATAGCTAAAACAAATTTATTAGATTCCTTGTGTACGCACCTCCAGTAGAGTATTTTTATTCTCCTTAATCTCTCATGTTCATTTAGTCACAATATGAATGATGTTTCAGTAAAAAGCCTAGCAGCCAAGATTCATGAGGTTTTGATTCTAGTCTTGGCTTTTCTACCAAAGTAGCAAGTGCTTCTGGAGCCTTGGGATTCTCATCTGAAACACTAATATAACTATAATCATACCTAGAAAGTATTTTTAAAGTGTTTTCATAACCAGGTAATATTTCATATCTTATTTAATCCTCACAGCATCCACCCAGGAAACATTTATTATTACCTCCATTTTTGCCAAAGTGGAAATAGACCTACGGATGTTAACTGATTTGCTCAAGGTCATATGGCTGGTAAGGAAGAATGGGAACTCATTCTGCGTCTTTTATTTGGGGCGCTTCCCATCCCTCCATAGCCAGATAATCGGTTTAGATAGAATTCTACTTCTATTAGTTAATGTTATCTGTGTGACTCATAAAATTTTTTTACTCAACATCCTTAATCATGTATTTTTTTCAATTATATGCTTTTTTATAACTCCTTATTGTATAATCTGAACTCATGTCACCACCAGCTTATACTCCATCAGTCCAAACAATGAGGATTTAACCTACTATAGGTAAGGCAAAGCCAAGGACATACAAATAAATAGAACATGGTCCCTCACATAAAGAATCTTACAATCTAGTACAGGCAATAAAGTGTTGCTATAGAAGTTACAGGCTTTCAGGTTGTAATGAAAGTGATATGCTGAGGTTACCCTAGTTCATGAATAAACCTGTTGCCATCAAGTCAATTCCAACTCCTGGCAATCTCATGTATTTCAGAGTAGAGCTAAGCTCCATGGGGTTTTCTTAGCTGTAAACTTTACAGAAGCAGATCATCGGGCCTTTCTTCTGTGGCACCACTAGGTATATTCAAACTGCCAACCTTTTAGTTAGCAGCCGAGAGCAAACCATTTGTACCACCCAAGGACCTAGTTCAGGGATAGCAAACTCAAATACCAGGCAGATAGCAAAGAGATGCAGTAAGCCAGTAGTGAACACAGCCCATATCTCTTCTCAGGAAGAAGCCAATACGTGGCTCTAGCCAATCATTGCCACGTCAAAATGGCCCTAGTGTCAGCTTTCCAAATTTCCAAGAGATGCCAGAAATCTGGATTTTTATATGAAAGTCCATGATTGTTAAATGTTGGCAATTAATCCAAAGTATAGACAGTAAAGAAGACAAAGTTTTTCAGCCACCACACAACCAGGTTTCAAAAAGACTGGAAAGCTATTTAGAATATGCAGCAGCTGTAGGAGGCCCTGAGCACAAGCAATAGCACCAGTGACTACTTGTCTTCTCCGCAGCATTGGTATCTAGTACGGCACTGAGGAATGATGGTCAAAATATTTATTCGTACAGCTAATAGGAATAACAAACACTTTTATTGTACCTATAATGTCCTAGGCCTCTTCTAAATGCTTTACATATATTCATTCAGTTTCAAAATAACTCCTTCATTACATTATCATCTCCATTTCAGAAAAATGGAAACTGAGTCAAAGAAAGACCAATTAACTAGACTGAGGTGATACATCTCGTAAGTGGTGGAGATGGGAGCACAAGTACTCAACTCATCCTCACTGAACACAGTCAGTCAAAAATGCCCCCTTACCATTGCTAGGGTGCTGGGGAGGTGGGGAAGCTTCCTGGCAAGCCACTGCAAGGCCAAGTGTTAACACTTTACTTGATGGATTGTGGAGAGGTCGAAGGGCCCCAGGTGAACAGTGAGACAGATAGAGAAGTTGTGGGGAGATGCTTAAAGGGTCCTTGTCAGCAGCTGTTTATCAACCAATTCAGAGGTATTTCTCTATTTATCAAGCAGTTGGCAACACTGGTGGGTTCCACTTGACTAATCTCCTTGGTTTTACCATTAAGTGGAACACAGGTCTTTGACTCTGCTCCTGCTGCTTTGGAATGAGTAAAACTGCCCATGCTGCTCTCAACCTTGTGGCTGCTGTTCCTCATGCTTCTTTGTGTTGTTGCCATCATTCTTGCCTTTTTGCTCCTGCTCTTCTCTACTGTTTCCCACTGCCTGTGTCTTAAAGGAACCACCCAGAAAAAAATGTGGATTGGGTTATCTAGTCATACAAGGTAGAATTGTATGGTGATTAATAGTGTGGTCTTTGAAACCAGACTGCCTCAGTTCAAATCCTAGCTCTACCATTTGTTAGCTGTGTGACCTTGAGCAAGTTACTTAAGTTCCCTCTTTGTCAGTCTCCTTAGCTCTAAAATACTTCATAGATTGTTTGCGTTATTAGATGAGCTAGTACATATTAAACACTTATGTATATGCCTGGAATATAGTAAGTACTAAATACATGTTAGTCACAACTGTTATTACCCAGTCACCAGCTATAACTGAGGAACTCTATTGGGAGGATACCTCATTCTAGGTCACCTCACGAGCCCCTGACCAGCCTAGAGATGGCTCTCATTGAGGCAGGCACTAATCCCTGAGCAATTCTAGATTCTGAACACAATGAACTAGGGAGAACCCCTCAGAGATATGGGAGACGTGATAAGCAGTTCTAAGGTTTCTAGAGGAAGCAGTATGACCAACATACTCTTGCTTGGGATCTACAGTACTGCTATCACTAAACAGGCAGAATATTTTATAAATAGAGTCTTCAGATATCCAGGCCAAGTTTACACAGAGGAGGGGGCATCTGAGCTGAAGGTAGGATGAGGTAAACCATGTTGGAAGAACCTGAGCATAAGTATAGACATGCAATTTCAGTTTGATCATACGGCATAAGTATAAAATTTTAATTCATGCTTAATTTAGACAATCTTAAATTCAGCTACAACAGGATGATTCTGAATTCTATTGACATTTCTACCAGAGAAGTTTTTCCACTTCTCAAACATGTTTCTTTCATTGTTCCATCAGATGACTCCTTTGTCTTTTACAGGTAGTCCCCAATTTATGACAGGTTTTCATTCTGACGACTTCGTCATAAGTTGTTTCTAACCAGGGCTTCAAACTTGTTAATTCCAATTTGACCCCGTGCTGAGAATGTAGCCCAGGGTGTATACATAAGAATCACCTGGGGATCTCGTTGAAATGCTTATGTATACATAAGAATCACCTGGGGGTCCTGTTAAACTTATTTTGTTTACATGGAATCACCTAGGATCTTGTTAAAATGTAGATTCTGATTCAGTATAGCTGGGGTAGAAATGCAAATTCTCAGCAGGGGGTCGAACTGGAACTAAATGGTTTGAAGCCCTGGTTCCGACATAAGTCGAATGTCTCATTTTTTTTTCTTTTAGTTGTCATTATTACTGCCTTTTATTAGTGTCTTTACAAATTCACTCTATTTGTCTTTGGGAGTTGAAAAAATTACATATAAACTTACAGATATATTCTAATACATACACATTTATATACATTAAAAAAATACTCAAATCATAAAAATTTACTCTGACAATGAAGAAGAGTTGGATGACACTGGCATTTTGTCAGTTGTGATAATAACTCTACTTGTGGAAGGTTCTGGATCATCTGGATTATCCCTAGGAATGCAGACGGCATGTCTAGTCAGAAAATCGTTTATATAGTCCTTTTCTTTTTTTTCTTCATATATTTCACAATAACAACTCACTGCTTCCCAAATCTACCTATCGACTTTAGCATAGCAATCAACATTTGGATCCATATTTTTAAGCAACTGAAGCCCCTGATTTAGTTCAGAAAAAACTTCAGCTAATCCTTTCATTGTAAAATTTTTTGACAACTTCTCTCCTTCCTCTTCCTCGTTATTTTCTTTCTTCTTCAGCATTTCTTTCCTCTTCAAAATCCATTAAGTCTTAATCTGTCAATTCGCCTTCTTTGTGATCTATGAGCTGTTCCACGTGGGTGATATCAAGTTCTAAATTCAGCACTCTTGCCATATGAATGATTTTTCCACAGATCTCTTCCATCGTATTATCTTGATCAAATGCCTGGAGTGTGTTCACATAACTAAGCAATTTTTTTCCCTATCCCCTGTGTGCATTTTCCTGTAAATTCCTCCCAGGAAGATGTAGTGTTCCAAATACACTGAAGAATATTATAATTCTTTCATAAATCACATAATGTTACCATACTTCCATCTATTGCAGCTATTGCCAGAGCAAACGTAGTCTGTAGGTAATATGCCTTGAAGGTGGCAATTGCACCTTGATCCATAGGCTGAATCACGGCTGTCACATTGGGAGGTAGATATACCACTTTCACTTCTTGATTTAGATCATCTACGTGAGGAGGATTTCCTGGGGCATTCTCAAGTATTAGCAGAATCTCAAAAGGAATGCTGTTTTTAAGGCAGTAGATGTGCACTTCTGGGATGAAACAATTTAAAAACCAGTTTTCAAATAACAAAATTGTCATCAAGGCCTTGGAGTTGCTCCTGTAGTAGACTGGCAGCTTATCTTTGTCAATGTTTTTGAATGCTCAGGGATTTTCAGAACAGTAAACAAGAAAATGTTTTAATTTAAATCCAGCAGCGTTTCCTCCAAGCGAAAGAGTGAGTCTGTCTTTAAACGCCTTGAAACTAGGCACTGACTCCCGTCTTTGTGAATATAGCCCTGTTCTGGCATCCTCTCCCAAAAGAAGCCTGTTTTGTCCACGTTGAAAATTTGATCTGGTAGATATTCTTCATGTTGTATTATCTTGTCCAGCTCATCTTTGAATTTTTCAGCAGCTTCAACATCGGCACTTCCCACTTCTCCAGTTATAAGCATGTTATGTAAGCTAAATCTGCGTTTGAAGCAATGAAACCAGCCCTTGCTGGCATTAAAGTACTCTTAGTAGTCTTCTTGCTGTCCCTTCAGGTTTTCAAAGAGGCTGCATGTTTTTGTTTGAGTCATCAGTAAACTTATAGGAATCATTTTCTGGATTTGGTCTTCTATCCAAATCATCAACAACTTCTCCATCTCGTGAATTGGCCCTTGCCTCTTCTTTGTTAATGTTGTCAATTTTTATGAGATTCACTCCTTTAATTACCTCCAAAATCCTGTTCTTATCCTTAATACAGTTGAAATGGACGAATGAGACAATCCTTCCTCATGTGCTGTTTTGCCAACTTTCTTTCCATTATCATAGGCCTTAATGATCTTCATCTTTATATCCATGTCTAGGACCTTCCTCGCCTTTTTTTTTTTGGACTAGAGCTTTCAGTGGTATAACTTCTTTTGCTAGACATATTGTTGGAGGTATAAGCAGTGCAGTGCAGGTGTTAACAGTTAGAGAAACTTGAACAACCCCACTTCAAATTAACAACTGATGCTTCTCATGATACGCACACTATAGGCCTGGTCTTGGATCCCTGGTGGCACAGTGTTTAAGAGCTCTGCTGCTAACCAAAAGATCAGCAGTTCAAATCTACTAGCTATTCCTTGGAAACCGTATGGGGCAGTTCTACTCTGTCCAATAGTGTCCCTATGAGTTGGAATCAATTCAACTGCAGCGGGTTTGGTTTGGTTTGGGTCTACAATGAAGTCAGGGCCAGTGTCATAACAACGAGGTCAGAGCCCTAATAGCTGTTGAGTGGGTGCACAGTTCAACTGTTGTATGTCGTTAGAGTTGAACATCGCTCAACTTTCTATCTGTTAATGACTCCCGACACCAATACCGACTTCACTGTAGGCCGGGCCATAGCCTGCCATACACAGTGTTTCGGATAGTAAATCATGAAATTGAACATCTGTGAATAAATATCTGAGAATGGTAACATCAGCAAATACGCACTGCAACATTATGTGTAGTACATTTCACTAATGATAAGATGTACCCAAAAAAAAGGGCTTTTGTAAGTGCAATCCATCATAAGTCAAATACGTTGTAAGTCGGGGACTACCTGTATACCGAAATGGCCTTAAAAGAATGTTTTATATTATAAGATATTTTCGTAATTCATTTTTCTCATTGCACTGTTTCTTTTGAAAATTGTTTATCTAGCTTAGTATAAGTTTGTCCTTTTGCATTTTAACTCAGTGGCTTGATCAAATTAACTAAAAGAGGCTCAACCTAAAGGAATTCTGTCAAGTGTTAAATTTAGACCCTAATTTGACCTAATAAGTTTCCTTCCAATGTAGTAACCAGTGTTATTTAGATTCTAAATATCACTAATTTTATTCATTTACTTTTAATTTTCTCTAACAGTTACCTTTTGAATGTCAATACTTTAAAACTCTTTGTTTTGACCCCTGTATAACGGCTATAGTCTGAGGTGTCATCATTATGCATTTATAAACATTCTGATTTTGTTAATGATGGGGTGCATGAAAAAGAAAGCAAGCAAAAAAATCTTATTAAGTTTTAACCTCTGTTAGAAATAATAGAAAAAGGATCAATGAGTATCAAATTTAAAAGAATATGTCAAAGAGAAGGGAATGTGCCTTCAATTTCCTTGAAGTATGTTCTTCAAAGAAAAGACCATGAAATGTACTCAAGATATTTACAGAAGAGATATTTCAAAGAACACATCACAAATTTGAATTAACTAATCTAAAAATATTCATACCTATTAGCCCAGTATTTCTACTTCTCACAACTTAGTCTAAGAAAATAAACCAAAACATACACGGTTATATGCATATCTAGTGCTACCACCTTTATAATAGTGAAAACTTGAAAGCAACATAGAATACAGTGGGAAGAGTTAAATACATTGTGGTAATTTAGTCAATGGATTCACCATTTAAAAATGAGTGGTTCAGATTTACTGGCCTGACAGACTGGAGAAACCCTGAGAGTATGGCCCCCGGACACCGTTTTAGCTCAGAGGTGAAGTCACTCCCGAGGTTCATCGTTCAGCCGGGGATTGGACAGCCCATAAAACAAAATGGGACTAATGAGGCACAGCAGTCCAGGGACAAGGACTAGAAGGCAGGAGGGGACAAGAAAGCTGGTGATAGGGAACCCAAGATTGAGAAAGGACAGTGTTGACATGTCATGGGGTTCTTAACCATTGTCATAAGGCGATAGGTGTACTAACTGTTCAATGAGAAACTCTTTGTTCTGTAAACCTTCATCTAAGGTACAAAAAAAAGAATTATCTATGTGAGATCAAATTGACAGCAGCAACTCAAAAGATTTGATGGGAAGCCTAGGGGGCAGTGAGTTGAAGATAATTTGGAAAAGGATAGTGAGGATAGCAGCACAACTGGAAGAATGTAATCAATGTCACTCAATTGTACATGTAGAAATTTCTGAAATGGTGTATCTTTGGCTATGTATGCTTTATCCAAACGAAAGGTCCTCCAAGGTCAAGAAAGGAGACTGTTGACATGTCATGGGGTTGTTAACCAATGTCATAAAACAATACGTGTACTGACTGTTTAAGGAGAAACTATTTGTTCTGTAAACCTTCACCTAAAGTACAATTAAAAAAAAAAAAGAGTGGTTCCTTGAATGCAAGATGTTAATAATAGGAGAAACTGTGTGCAATGGGGAGAGGCAGTATATGGGAACTCTCTGTACTTCACGCACAAATTTTCTGTAAACTTCAAACTACTCTAAAAAATAAAGTCTATTTAAAAAAACGAGTGGCTCTATTGCTTATCTTTTGTCACCTAGTTTACTACAATCATGACTTAACTGTTCCCCGGCATCCGCAGCTATCCTTTTGCTATCCATTCTCCAAAGGACTGCCCATGTTACTTCCCTAAATCACAATTTTTGTCTTACAATTCCTCTGCTTAGGATACTTTCACAATTTCCCATCACCTTCAGGAAAAATTCAAATTAGTACTCTTAGAGGCCCTGCATGATCCAGACCAATCTCTCCAGGCTCCATTTTCATACACAGACCCTACTTTCATCCACACAAAACTAGTTTCATTATTCCTCTGGCCATATTATCTAGTTTCCTATTGATTATCCAGTTCCTAAATGACCTTATACCTAATGTATCCAAGCAAGGTAACTACCTACTCTTCTGGCCAAAGCTGACAATTAATTCTCTGGGTGGTTTGCTATAGCCAGCCCATTCAAAGACGATTAGTATTTTTAAATCTCCAGTGAAAGTAGATCTCTGATTCAACTTTGTAGCCTGTTCAAATAACTCATAATTATTGTCCTCTTCATTACAATTGGTAAACTGTACAGTCTCCCCTTAGAGATCTCACCTAGTACTTTGCAAAATAACTCTCAGGATCAAGTTTAACCGAGGCATTGTGATTCTTTAATTGCCAAGTATATTTAGGTGTCAACTGTAGAATTAAGAAACACCACTGCAGCTAGGTCAGGATACTATAAACCAAGGATCTACTGAAGTCCCCAAATCCCACCTGAGCAATCTAGAGTAGAGAATATATTGATCTAAACTAGGATAATGGCTGTGGGAATGAAGAAAAGAGAACATACTGCAGAGACATTTGAGCAGTAGACTTGGCATTGGACAGTTTGACTGGATATAGGAGATGAAGGAGAGGAGGAGTGAATGATACTTGTTAGGTTTTCTGACTAGGAAACCCCAGGAAGAGGAGGCCATCTATGAGGGGAGATACGTATGGAATATAAGGTGACTGTTCCATCTGGAGATGTCCAGCAAGCATTGGCCATATGATTCAGAATCTGAACAAAAGATAAAATAGAGGGGAAAATAAAGCCCTGATAGTGGTTGGAGTCACTAAAGGGAAGTGCAGAAAGTGAGGACATAAGAGGACTAAGGCAGAACTGAGAAACTACAGTATTTACTGGGAAGACACAGGAATCGAATTGCACAGAGTAGTCAGAAAAGACACTGCTGGAATGTGAGAGGAAAAACTGGGACAGAGTGATTTTGTTGACATCTAGAACAAAAGAAGGGAGCACCAATGGGCTATGCTGCTGAGATGATAAATGGTATTGAGACTTGCCCATTGTATTTTGGAACCCAGGTCAATAGAGGCCTTGGTAAAACCAGATTTATTGGATATGGACAGCAGTCAAACTGCAGGGAGTTGGGGAGGAATGAGAGGTGCTTAGCACAGACTCTGCACACAATAAGCACACCAGAAACGTCCATTATTATCAAGTGGAGACAGTCAAGTCCTTTTTTTCCCCACCTAAACTTCACATTTCAGCTGAGAACTCAATAGCATCTCTGTCCTTTGAGGTAAAACTAATTACGAAGGAAAATTCAGATAAATTTCTAGAACATTATAGAGAATTTTAGTTAATATAAGAAAGACTACTTATGAGCTCAAAATGGGACGAATTATTTGGAAAAGCATTGAGTTTCTCATCCTCAAGCACATTTGTGGAGGGATTCAACAGTCAAATGTCAGTGATGACCTGGATAATTTTCAGTTCTACCACTGCAGGTCTTGTAATAAAATAACCTAGATCTAAGTTGGAAGATTAGGTGGATCTACATGTATTGGTTTCCTAGGGCTGCCATAATAAAATACCACAAACTGGGTGGCTCATAAGAACAGAAATTTATTGTCTCACTGTTCGACGCCTAGGAGTCTGAGATCAGGGTGTCGGCCTTGTTGAATCCTTCTGAGACTCTGAGGAAGAATCTATCCCATGCCTATCTCTTAATTTTTTCTTTTCATTAATGGCATATAATTTATTGATATTTTAAATCTGACCACAAAACTATTTTCTCTAGGTAATGTTTTTTTGTACTTTAAATGAAAGTTTCCAGAACAAACTAGCTTCTCATTAAACAGTACATGTACAGTTTTATGACATTGCTTACTAACTCCACAACATGTCAACACTCTCCCCTTCTCGACCTTGGGGTCCCTGTTACCAGCTTTTCTGTTCGCTCCTCCCTTCTAGTCCTTGCCCTTGGGCTGGTGTGTCTCTTTAGTCTCATTCTGTTTTATGAGCCTGTCTAATCTTTGGCTGAAGGGTGACCCTCAGTCTCTCCCAATATCTGATAGCTCCAGGCATTCCTTGGCTTGCAGCTGCAGCATCACATAGCTTCCTTTCCCTGCCTCTCTATATCTCTTCTCCTCTTTTACTTAGATGGGATGAGGACCTACTCTACTCCAGTATGACCGCATATTAATTGATCTTAACAGCTTTAAAGACCCTATTTCTAAACAAGGTCATGTTCACAGGTACAGGGGTTAGAACTTCAACATATCTTTTTGGGGGGATATAATTCAATCCGTAAAACTACATTACCACCAATTATCTGACTTCTGCCCAAGAATTTTAGAGCAACTAGCCTCATAAAGACCCTCTGTATGTGATTGTTCCCCGTGGAAAGAGCTATGGATTTCACTACCATACAAGAAGCTGATGAAATAGGCAACAGTAGCACCAAGTCAATAAACAAAACTCACCTATGTGGCAAGGTAATACAAAATCTGCAAGAGAAAATGTCATATGTGAAAAGTATGCCTAACTAACACTTTTAGAGAAGGAAAAAAAAATTGTAAAAGTCTAACATGGAATTTTTGAAATATGAAGCAAACTTATATAAAGGAAGCAACAAGTTTGGTCAGTTCTCTAGGTTCAGAGACAGTACTGGTTCTATTTAGCATTTTCAAAAATGAACTGAAAAAGAAATCTCCATATTTTCCAAAAAAATTAAGATTTTACAGCTAAAAACATATTTATCTGTATAGATAGGTCCAAAGTAATTTCTGAAGGCTTTGTGAGTGGGCAGAAAAGCAATAAATGTGATTCAGGGGTAAGAAAAGAGTGTAGAAAAAAATTTAAATATATTATAGTGTCTTAAATTGTGGAAACCCTAGTGGCATAGTGGTTAAGAGCTCAGCTGCTAACCAAAAGGTCAGCAGTTCAGATCCACCAGCCACTCCTTGGAAACCCTGTGGAGAAGTTCTAATCTGTCCTATAGGGTTGCTATGAGTCAGAAAACGACTTGACAGCACCTAACAACAACAACATATTAAATGTATTTATGATAACAGACTGCAATACAGTGTGAGAAAAGATCTAAGTATATTATAGCACTTTCGGCGAAAACATCAACTAGTGGGCTGCTACAGATGAAAATACTGGGCCTCGGTCTGAGTCCAGACTTCATCTTAACTTCTGCTCACTTACCTAGCAACAATTAACCTTTGACATAGATTTAAGCCTGTAGTTAAAGAAATGTTTTTCTCTGTGGTTAAGCTAAGGATGTAGAAAAAATGTTCTCAAAGGGGGTCTTCACAGAAATGCCTTATCAGAAATCTCCTGTGCAAGCAGTCCTCAGGAAACATCTTGCTCAAGAAGCTATTTAAACAGAATGTTCTCAGAAACAGTGTCTTGTGACTGTCCTATGACCCGCCTCCCTTGCGTACTTAAGAAAATAACCAACCCAGATAGCCCACTTACATGCTTTGTACCAATCCCTTTCAATTCCCTGCTTCAAGTTATCCCCCTCCCACTTCCCCAGTTGTTTGGGCACTGTCTTCGTCATCTAGTGCTGCCATAACAGAAATACCACAAGTGGATGGTTTTAACGAAGAGAAGTTTATTTCGTCACAGTCAAAGTAGGCTAAAAGTCCAAATTCAGGGCATCAGCTCCAGGGGAAGTCTTTCTTTCTCTGTCGGCCCTTTCATCAGTGTTCCCCTGGACTAGGAGCTTCTCGGCATAGGGACCCCAGTCCAAAGGATGCGCTCTGCTCCCGGCACTGCTTTCTTGATGGTATGAGGTCCCCCATCTCACTGCTAACTTCTGTCTTTTATATCTCAAGAGATTGCCTCAGGACACAATCCAGTCTTGTAGATCCAGTCCTGCCTTACTAACACAACTGCCACCTATCCTTCCTCATTAACATCATGGAGGCAGGATTTACCACATACAGGAAAATCACACAGTACCAGGAATCATGGCCCAGCCAAACTGATATACACATTTGTTGGGGGACATAATTCAAACCATGACAGGCACCAATCAAAAAATTGTTGATTTCCTGATTATACTGTGTAAATGTATCTGTTAACCTTCAGTTCCTCAGAGAGCTTGGCCTTCACTTTGTGGACCTGCCATATCCCTGGTTCAAACTGTCTTGAACCTTCAATAAATCTCTTTGCTTTAAAAAAAGAAAAATTACTGGCCCTCATCAAAAAACAGTATCTTAAATCTGACAACAGAAGTCTTACTATCCTAGAAAAATCCAATGATGTGCCTATAACTAAAATCTCAATACAGTTCTAGTGATTGTACCTTAGAAAAAATTTAATGAATTAATAATGGATATACGTCCGTGTTTAAAAGTTCCCTGGAGGGTGCAAACGGTTTGCAGTTGGCTGCTAACTGAAAGGTTGATGGTTCAAAGCCACCCAAGCAGTGCCTCAGAAGAAAAGCCTGCAATCTGCTTTCATAAAAATTACAGCCAAGAAAACCCAAAGAGTTCAGTTCTACTCTGTAGCACATGGGATCATGATGAGTTGGAAGCAGCTCGACAGCAACGTGTTATTGGTATGTGTTTATATATAAATGTACATGAGATATACATATATATATATATAACTCAATCGTTAGTATCACCATCACATTCTTATCATTATATAATTATCATCATCATCATGTAGAAAGACAAATAAAATACTAAAATTATTGGAAGTTCTCCCATGTAAATAAAAAATGTAAAACTCTTTAAATGCTATAAAAATAAAACACTTAAGGGAGATACTGCTTGCTGGTCAGTCTATAACACAATAAAGAATATATAACTAATAATTCCTATTTGATATATGCACACTATGTTCTAAGCAATTAACATGTACTAACTCATTTAATCTCTACAAAAGCTTTTCAGGTAGGTACCATTAATGTCCCCAGATGAAGCACAGAGCAGTCCAATAATTTACCCCATGTCATACAGCTACTAAGTGGTAGAGCCAAGATGAAAACACAGACATTCCATTTTCAAGGACTATGCTCTTAATCACTACATGTGAAACATGAACCTAATTCTAAGATCATGATTTCTTAAACTGAGACGCACTTTCTAAAGGGAAAAAGATAGATTTGAGGTAAATAAAAATAAGTATATAATAAGTTATAAATCTTGAAATCTAAAAACAAAACTTCTGAATCTTAAGAGACAAAACATATTGAAAATATAAAAATAGAATCAAGAACTCCTTACAGAATTTCACAGACAATGGCATACAGCAGGGAATGTTGGAGTATATATATCTCCAGAGTATATAAATCTCTAGAAGGTCAGCCATCTTCTCCCACAGGACTTCACTTAGTGTCCTCAACAGATACAGGCTGCACAGCAGAATGAACCTCTGTTCTTGCCCCAAATGGCATCCATTCCTTCTGCAATGTGGAAGCGTAAGCCCTTTGTATCTATCTGTGCTGGTGTTTTCTGTATTAAGTCATCTACAGGGCAGAGAATAGATCTTACCTACCTAGCTTGGCATATCACCTGGCTCAGTACGCAAAGTTCTTGATAAACACATTTTAACTATGATGATGTTCACGATTTCACAACTTCATATACCCATAGGGTCTACTCTGGAGAATAAGATTGTTTTTTAATCTATTTTCTGATCACCGCTGCTAAGTATTTGGCTGAACACATGACATTGCTTTGAAGAAGGAAACTTAATAAAATATTCTTTGGGGAAAGTACTTCCTCTAAGATTAATAACTGTTCTTTTTCAGTAAAGATGCTGCCAAAGAATTCGTGTAGGTAGGATAAGTGATCATCCTGAGAGATTTTCTTCACACACATGATCTGCCCGTCTGATTCCATACAGCCTTTGTTAGGCTGCCATGTTTTTGAAGTTAACTTCATGCTGCTACTGCTGTTCACGTTTCCGGCGCATCTGGTATCAGACGTATTCATTGTCCTTTTCCAGATATTAGTTGATTGAAAAAATAATGTCACATACCATCTCCCTCCTTCCTATATTCTTTCTCCTCCTTAGATGATGTCCCCACGCGGAAGCGCACAGAGAAAGTTAGTAAAGAGATGGGCCAAGTATGCATCCAAGTCTTGCCTTTATTACATCTATTAAATATAACATATTCAAGTTATGAAGGACTTTTTTCCAAAAGACAACGATGTCTCTTGTGAAAATTGTTTATTTTAAAAGTCATATTGTTCATTTTTCTCTTCTCCTAAGAGTGAACAATCAACATTTGGACTAGACTGGTCTTAGAGAGGATGCGGCTCTTAAGGACTTCCAGAGAAGCTGGATCATGTGGAATCCTTAGCTAAAATTGTGGAAGATGGAGGAGAGAACACAGTTCTACCATAGATTCTGGAGTAGTAAAACCAGTCCAAGGAGAAGTTAAATAGAAATCAAAATATTCAGAAAGCTAACAATGTATTGCATTGGGCATTTCTGCTGCGAAAGATCTCTTTAAACTGTTAAAAAGCAAAGATGTCACCTTAAAGACTAAGGTGCACCTAACCCAAGCCATGGTGTTTTCAATCGCCTGATATGCATGTGAGAGCTGGAAAGTGAATAAGGAAGACTGAAGAATGGATGCCTTTGAATTATGATGTTGGCAAAGAATATTGAATATATTATGGACTGCCAGAAAAACAAACAAACCTGTCTTGGAAGAAGTACAACAAGAATGCTCCTTAGAAGCAAGGATGGCAAGACTTCATCTCACATATTTGGACATGTTATCTGGAGAAGGACATCATGCTTGGTAAAGTAGAGGGTCAGCAAAAAAGAGAAAGACCCTCAACGAGATATATTGACACAGTGGCTGCAACAATGAGATCAAGCATAACAACAATGGTGAGGATGGCGCAGGACCCAGCAGTTTTTCATTCCGTTGTACATGTTGTACATAGCTATGAGTTGGAACCGACTCAATGGCACCCAACAACAACAAATAACATACATACTAATCACTTTTACTTTCTTTCTCTATTATTTGCAGCTATAAGTTTACTTTCAGGTAAATTCCTTCTCTTAGACAAACATGTCCATCCTTTGATGCCTCTGACAGTGACAGGTACTGTACTGAATAAACCACAACTTCTCCTTAGTGTGTCCCTTCTTTACATAGCCTTCCCTAGTTTCCTTAGTGGGAAGTATACTTGTCCTCTTCATCCCAAAGCACACTGCTTTATAGGAGCATAGACTGCTTCCTTAGATTATAGCTATCTTCTCCACTAGATGGAGAAAGAGTAGAGATTAGGTCTTTTCTCTATATGTCACTACTTCATGCACAATGCACTGGTCTACCACTGTGCTTTGCAAATAATAAATGGACTTCTTGAATAATATTTTCTTAACTTCATTTAAAGAAAGCCCACATTCTCCCAGACTTGATAACAGCATGCCTCCTAGTCTATACTTCAGTCTTTCAGAATAATCTGTCAGAAATACAAGAGTAGAAGTAGGGTACATACACATTAAGAACTACTGAGAAACCTCGATGTTGTCAATTCATTATTTTAACTTTTTCTGGAGCAGATGAATAACTGTCCCTATTTAAAACGCTTTGCATTTCAAATATATTTTGAAAATGGGTCTCACGTTTGTCATTTAATCTCAAAGCATTTTCACTAGAATGAGACAGAAAGCTATGAGGAAAACAAAAAAATGAGTGTGCTCTCAATAACAACCAAAATAGGCATAAAAATTTTTAGAGCATAGTTATGCTTCTGAAACTCAATGCTTGATAAAGTTATTTCAAATGATTGTTCAAACTAAGTGAGCTGTCCTAGCTACAAATTCTGAATTGCTTAGCGTTTGTTATGTTTACAAACTCGATGTCTAGTAGAGAAGAGAGTTTCTTCACAAACTTTTCCAATGCACAAGTATACCAAGTATAATCATGTTGCTCTTACTCATACTGGCACTACTGGTCCCCAAATAGTTGACAGAGAATAACAAAAGGCTTTGCTGTCAGTATTTTGGTAAATAACATTTTAATTATTAACTTCATACCTCCTGCAGAAGGTCCCCTTCATCATTCATCTCAGCACTTCTTATTCGTCGAATTCAGAAACCACAGTATCCTTGACAAATGCGCTCAACGTGTATTTATACGCATAACTGCAACAAAAACTGCAGATGCTGAATTCCATGGAGGTTCTATCCAGAAGGGTCTGGCACGTAGTAAAAGATAAACACCAGACTCTGATGTGTCATACCCAAGGCACAGTATGCTAGGAAAGCACTAGAAGAGTCGAATGACAAATGCTCGTTTATGCCTGACTCCCTGCAAACAAAGGACATACAAAGCTTAAAACTGTGTTGATGGATTTTTTTCTCCAACATGCTGAATTTTTGTTATATAACAATTGTATTCTGGAATGAAATCTGTTTCTAGAGTCCCAAATGATGAAGCATTTATTAGGCAACTATGCTATCAAAGCCCACAGACAAAAGCCCGAATGGAAAAATGCAGCTGTAAGTGACCCAGATTTTTCACCAGTAGCAAAGATCCATGCATTTGTAATTCTCATTTTTCTTTTCTTTTGTAGGGTCCCTTCTGGCCTGCAAATTAATTCTGGCCCTTTTATTATGTAACTGTGACCATCTTTATTCAGCCACTCCAATTCTCTAAATATCAGACTCTGTCAAACCCCACCCCCTCCAGCTGTCCACAATGAACCTGGAATCACCTGCAGGCTGTGCTACACAGTCCCAGAAACAATCATACCTCAGTCACAGGGAACAGGAAATACTTCCTTTTCACTCAAAAGGGTGTTTGAAATAAAGCTTCCGCTGCCTTCAACTGAGACCTGAAATACATTTGGTGGGAGAGGGGAGGGAGATTCTTCTGAATCCGATCATACCCTCCCTAAGTATTTCCCATGTGTGAGTGACCAGTCTCCCCAGCTCTTGTATCTGGGATCTCTATGCCCGGGGGCAGCCCAGGCACACATTCAAGCCAGTCACATCTCAAAGTGTGTGAGTCAGCCAGGCCTGACTCTCTTGTTCTATGTCAAAAGTGTCGTTTCCCAAGGACTGACACTCTTCATATTTCCATCATGTTAGCCCTGGTTCTATGCCTGACTCTAATGCTTCTTCTCTCTGCTTACTGAGCTACATTAAGATACTGGATTTAGACCTAGGTCTGATGCTGATGTCCACCTGGAACTGCATCCTTGCCATGACTGTTGTGAATTATTAGACCTCCCCAAGGAAAGGGACCATATCTTCCAACCAAGTGTTTGACTTGCTCCTGATGCTTTTCTCCTCATCTCTGTTACATTAATTCTCAGAATTCCTGTGGCAGAGCCTCACCTGGCTTTTTGTCTATCCTCCTCTGACCCCATATTTTCTTCCACTCTTATAACCTTTTCAAGCATGTGCTCTTCCCCAAGTAAAATAGGTGCCATTGCGCTATCAAAAAAAATGTTTAGTGAAAAATCTTGGTTTCATTTCTGAAATGCTTCTACCCTATGTCAGGAAAAAGAACTGGCCTAGTTGGGTTACATATTATGACATGTTAAGAAAAAAATTGTTTCAGAGCACAACCTACCAAAAGATTATCACTATCTCATATGCAACTTGATTTATTTCCTCTTCTTTTCCTTATGTTGACAATCTCATCTTTTCAATGTATATTAGTTTCCTCTAATATCCTTTCTGGGCCCTTGATTTCACACCGATGTACTGATACCATTTATGCCCATTTCTATGAAAGTATTATAGAGCTTTAACAAATTCAAATCCAGTATTTTTAGCCAGCCCAACATGGAGTTTGTCTACCTTGAAAGAATTTTTCTGTAATTCCATGTTCATGTGTGTAATCAACTCTACTTTTTCCTTTGTGTCTTTGTTCAATTTTTTCCCCTTTTCTGCCTTATAAATTTCAATATCTCCTCAGTTTCATTTCTGTATCTCTTTCTCAAACCATTCTTTTTATAACAATTGCTATGTTGCAACAAACTTTTTTTCTCTATTCTTAATTACAAAACTGGGTATCTGGAAAGCTTTTCATTTTTCTCTTAAAACTTAAATTTCATTGGGCCTAACCATATGGAGACCTCTTTATCTGGGGTCTTCTGCATGCAGAGGCCTTCCTCAGGCCCTCTTCTCTCAGGGGGAATGAGTGGGGGGATATTGAAGACACTTTTCCCCACCCTGACTCAGTACTCAGTACTTAACCACCCCCCTTCCCTTTGCTCCACAGTATCCCTCACCCCGGCCCTGAGGTCCAAAAACCTGCAGGAGCCTTTTGTTCTGGGCTCCCTTGGCAGTGAGAAGGTCTCCACATTTGTGCTGATGCCGGCACCATTCCTAGGGAAATAAGAAATGGGGGTGCGAGGCACTGTTTTCTGGGTTTATTTCTTACAGTATTGCAGTAAAGTGGTTACAGACTTGGCTGTCACTTTCATTTTGACTCACTGTCTTAATTGGCTACTTTGGACACCTGGCAGCTCAGCTCAGCTCTCTCAGCTCAGCTCTCTCAGCTCAGCTCTCTCAGCTCAGCTCTCTCAGCTCAGCTCCACTCCCTCACGCAGATAATCAATATTATTTATATAAAACACAGCAACTTAAATGCTACTTGCATCCACAGTCACACTCTGTTTTCTAAACTCTCCAAATTAAAAATTAATCCTAATTCTAAAGGTCAAGATAATAATTAGGAAAAGTTGTTATATCATAAAACGCAGGAGTTCGTCCATTTCCAACAAGTAAATCATATAAACAATGGGATCTTACTAAATTCTTAGAAGTGATTCATTCTGTATTTATAAGAATTTTTATGTGACATGTGGAGCATTCTCATCTGCACAACAGTGCCGCAGGCCACACATCACAAGTCAGAGAGAACTTAATTCAGAGATTCTCATTTCCAGTACTAACTTCCTGCTGAGCATCTTCCCAGTTCTTTTGTGCTCACGGGACCTGCACCACATCATCTCTAACGTCTTAATCCAATTGTCTTCGGCCCCCTCTTCATTATAACTAGACTCTTTCCTCACTCTCAACTTCAATATTAGCTATTTTAACAAACTTCTCCTCCCAACTTTTGCTCCCACCAGGCTAGTTGTATATTTACTAAAAATCAATTATATTGATTTTCAAAATTGTTTACGCTAGTTGCATTAGTTATTGAAAATCTGCAATTTAGTTACATATTGTGTAAATCAATATGAAGGAAATATAGTTAATATTTCTTCAAAACTGAGCTGAATGCTTAGAAAGACTTGAGAATTATGCATGTCCAATAAAAATTGCTGTTGAATTAGGTCTAGGTGAAACAACTATAAAAATATTTTTATACCAAATGAGACTAACGAGGTACAGTAGTCCAGTGACAAGGGCCAGAAGGCAGAAGGAGACAAGGAAGCTGGTGATAGGGAACCCAAGGTTGAGTAAGGATATTGTTGATGTGTTGTGAGATTGTTAACCATTGTCATAGGGCAACATGTGTAGTAACTGTTAAATGAGAAACTATTTGTTCTGTAAGCCTTCACCTGAAGTACAATAAAAAATATATATATTTTTATGAAAGTATAGAATTTTCTTTCAAATTGTCTTGCAATGATCTTTAAAAAGTTGCCTCACACACAAAAAAAATCGGAAATCTTATTATTTTATGATGCATTATGAGAATAGTTTATACAAGAAAGACAATATGAGATTCAAAACAAAGGATGTACATTCAAAGAAAAGGCATGTTCCAAAATCAATAGATTGACTAATAAATATATAACTACATGTCAAGTTAAAATAATATGTTTAAAGTGCATTTTCTTCTTTTTAAGTTCCTATTTCAACTGACTTTCTTGATTAACCAATCAACTTTTCTACCTGATTGTTTAGGATAAAACAGTTTCTTTATCTTTGTATTCTTTTCTTAAAAGAGTGGATGAGGCCTTTTGGGGAGAGATGCCACATTTAATGCATGCATTTATTTTTGCTTGTTCAAAAGAAACCTGACAAAAAGGCATAAATAAAAATGGAGAAAATCAAATGGAAATGGAGACAACAGAAAAGAAATTGGATGGTGGAAAGCAAACAGACAAGTTGTTACAAACTTCTAGCAAGTCAGAAAATTAATCCTAAGCAAACAATGAAAAAAGCCAAGAGCCAATGCAGTCTGTACTGTAACTTTTCTAGAAATGAAAGATACAAGACAAAGAAATAGAAAATAGAACAGATGGGATATTATAACCAATCTAGGTGGTTTAACATATAAATAATAGGAGTTCCAGAAAAATAAGAGAGACACTATACACAGGAGAAAGTCTTCTAAAAAGCTAACTTCCCATAATTAAAGGGCCTGAGTTTCTGGAATGAAAGCTTACATAGAATACCTAGCAAAAGGGATTAAAATTGACCTACATTAAGGCCCATCATCAGGAAATTTAGAACACTAGCACATACAAAGAATGAGGAATCAGAATGAACTCAGTCTTCTTAATAGCGACACTGGAAGCCAGAAGGCAATGGGGAAAATCTTTCAAAATCCCATGGAAAAGTCATTTCAAACATACAGTTGTATCCTCAGTCAAATCTATCAAACAGAGCAGAATGAAAGCATGTTTCACATACCTCCCGTATACCCTTTCTCACAAAAGTAATTGAAGATATAGTTATGGATTGAATTGTGTTCCCCCAAAATATGTGATGTATTCCTGGTCCCTGTATCTGTGGATGCGATCTTGTTTGGAAATAAGGGTTTTTCTTTTGTTATATTAGTGAAGTCATACCAAAGTAGGGTAGGTCCTAAACATAATCACTTCTGAGTTGTAAAAAAAAAGCAGGATAGACTAAGAGCCACACACAGGGGGAAAATGTCATATGAACACAGACCCATACAGAAGATGTATCTACAAACCCAGGAATAGCAAGGATTGCCACCAGCTACTGGAAGCTGAAATAGACAAAGAAGGACCTTCCTTTGGAGCCATACCCTGAATTTGGGCTTCTAGCCTCCTGAACTGTGAGAAAATAAATTTGTATTCTTTATAGCTACCTACTTGTGGCATTTTTTGTTGTGGCAGTACTGGGTAGCTAAGACAGATATGTTTCTCCAAAAAAGAAAAGAATCAGGGACACAAATAACAGGAGATCCCGCAAGAGGGAGAATAAAGAGAACTTCCAGGAAATTGATGAGAGATCTCTGAATCATAGCTGAATACCAGAGTAAAGGTACTCTCAGATATTTGCAGACCAAAAAACTTCAGGAAATATTTTTCAAGAAGATTAAATTGATGAAATGCCTCTTGTGTCTGAATGTTTTGAGGGGAATGGAGAGGTTAAATTCTTAATACATACATAGGATACTAAGTAAATGAAAGAACAAAAAGACAATTGTTGTCTATGGAAAAAGAAACTTGTGAAGGCAAGAAAATGTAGTCATATAATACTACTACATGGCTCACCTCTGAATAGTTTGGCAAAGTCATAGTAATATAAATTAAAATTACACTAAAATTAAAATAATGTAAAATTACAATATTATTTTACCAGAAGGAGTAGAAATTGGAAGGGTGCATGTGCATTCAGGGAACGGGTGGAAAAGAGCTAAACATTCATGTATCCATTGTAAAGAGTCTATGTTGTTAGGTGCCATTGAGTCGCTTCCGACTCATAGCGACCCTATGCACAACAGAACGAAACACTGCCTGGTCCTGCACCATCCTCACAGTCATTGTTATGCTTGAGCCCATTGTTGCGGCCATTGTGTCAATCCATCGCATTGAGGGTCTTCCTCTTTCTCACTGACCCTCTACTTTGTTAAAGATGATGTCTGTCTTAGTCATCTGTGCTGCTATAAAAGAAATACCACCAGTGGTTGGCTTTAACAAAGAGAAGTTTATTCTCTCACAGTCCAGTAGGCTACAAGTCCAAATTCAGGGCGTCAGCTCCAAGGGAACACTTTCTCTGCCAGCTCTGGAGGAAGGTCTGTGTCATCAATCTTCCCTTGGTCTAGGAGCTTCTCTGTGCAGGAACCTCAAGTCCAAAGGATGAGCTTTGCTCCCGGCACTCCTTTCTTGGTGGTATGAGGTTCCCCAGTGTCTCTCCTTGCTTCTCTCTTTTATATCTCAAAAGAGATTGGCTTAAGACACTATCCAAACTTGTAGACCTCATCAGTATAACTGCCGCTAATCCATCTTATTACATCATAGAGTTTACAACACATAAGGAAATCACATCAGATTACAAAATGGTACACAATCGTACAATACTGGGAATCATGACCCAGCCACGTTGACTGATATTTTGGGGGGACACAATTCAATCCATGACAATGTCCTTCTCCAGGGACTGGTCCCTACTGATAACATGTTCAAAGCATTTGAGACAAAGTCTCGCCATCTTTGCTTCTAAGGAGTATTCTGGCTGTATTTCTTCCAAGACAAACTTGTTCGCTCTTTTG